GCCTGGAGCCGGGGGGGGTCGGGCTCTTTCCCCACGTAATTAGCAATGAGACGAGAGGCAGTGGGCTGAAGTCATGCCAGGAGAGGTTTCAACTGGATGTTAGGAAGAATTCGTTTCCCAATGGAGTGGTGAGGCCTTGGCCCAGGCTGCCCAGGGAGGTGCTGGAGTCCCCATCCCTGGAGGGGTTCAAAAGATGTGTAGACATGGCACTTGGGCACATGGTTTAGTGGCCATGGGAGTGCTAGGTTATGTCTGCTTTTCCAACCTTGATTCTGTGCTTCTACAACATCACTGCTGTTCGTGGCCATCTCCCACAAAGAGCCTCAGCTCCTGTTGTGGAGGGACACAAGTGCCACAGAAGACACCCTCAGCTGCTGCATGGCCCCACTTTGGGCTGTGTCACCTGCTGTGACCAGAGCACCCAACATGACAGGGACAGGGGTGACCAGGAGCCATCTGCTGGCATCCTTAGAGCTGTGTCCTGCTGTCCTGATCTGTAGCAATGCTGCCAGCCTTGGGCTTTGCAACACTTAACTTTTCCCTTCCTTGAAAGGACCCTGGAACAAATTTATCCACTGATCAATTGTAAGTTCATCTGTTTAATAATTTGTCTTTCCTTTCTGCTGGCATCTTCTGTTGTGGGTCTTACATTCCTTACAGTTAACTCTCCTTTTTTAGCAGGACCTCTTGCCACAGGACAAGGGGGGATGGCTTGAAACTAAAAGAGGGAGATTTAGACTACAGAGAAGGGAGGAATTTTGGCTGCTGAGGTTGGTGAGACCCTGGCCCAGGCTGCCCAGAGAGGTGGTGGCTGCCCCATCCCTGGAACCATTCCAGGTGAGGTTGGCCGGGGCTCTGAGCAACCTGCTCTAGCTGCAGATGTCCCTGCTCAGGGCAGGGCGTTGGACTGGATGGCCTTGAAAGGTCCCTTCCCACCCAAAGCATTTTCTGATTCTTCCTTTGAGGTTCATTTTGTCACTGTGGAAGTTTGAGAAGGTTTTCCCTGTGCTGGTGTTGTGACCATGTCTCTGTTTCTGCAAACACAGGAGGTGGAAGTGGGGCACTCAGACCTCTTAGAAGACACTTTAGAGCAGCAGGAGTATCACTCCTGCCCTTGTTGGGGAAAATGGTGTGCTGGGCCCCCCTGAGATGCAGGAGGATGTTAAACTCATTAAATGGAGATATTAAAACTCATCCAAAGCTGAAATGTCTCAGCCGGGATGGCACCTGAGAGCTGAGAGGAGTGAATCCTGTTGCCAAAGGGAAGCTGTGGGCTGATTGCTTTGTGTGGTACAAACATCTCTGTTTGGACCACAGTCTTTGTGTTGTGGAATTCCAGCTCCCAGGTGGGTCAACAACCCAGAAGAGTCAACAGCACAGGGAGGAGAAATGTGAGCAGAGTGAGGGGTTGTGGGTGGTGCTGGTGTGGGGAGCTCTGTGTGCTCAGGTCACGGGGTTAGGACCTGAGTTCCTCTGCCAGGGTTTCACCTTTCTTTGCTTCACAAGTTATGACAGTGCTCCCAAGGAGGACAATGTTGGGTGGTGATTTATGGCACTAGTTCCTTGGGAGCAGAGCCCGACCCCCCCCTGGCTCCAGGCTCCTGTCAGGAGCTGTGCAGAGCCAGAAGGTCTCCCCTGAGCCTCCTTTGCTCCAGGCTCAGCACCCCCAGCTCCCTCAGCTGCTCCTCACAAGCCAAGTCCCCCAGACCGCTCCCCAGCTTCATTGCCCTTCTCTGGACCCACTCAAGGTCTTTCTTCCCCTGTGGTGCTCCAAGCCAGTTGAAAACCACTCAGAAAGTGAGGCCCAGTGCTGGGTTTGGTCAGAGGCTGCCCTGCCGTCCATGACTCTGCTGCTGGGTGTGTTTCTCGTCACGGGCAGATAAGAAGGCACCCGGGGACAGCCCTGTTGGTGTGAGCTGGAGCCAAATGGAAGAGCTGGGTTTTGCTTTTCCAGATTTTTGGGTCATTCTTCCTTTGTTTACTTCTTGACAGATGAAACAGAATTCAGGAATTTTATTGTCTGGCTGGAGGACCAGAAGATCAGACACTACAAGATTGAAGACCGAGGGAATTTAAGAAACATCCACAGCGATGACTGGCCCAAATCCTTTGAGAAGGTATTTCCTTGTTGCAAACCCAAATTGCAACTGATGATTAACAGCTGCTGCAGTCCTTGGATGTTAATGACTCTGAACCTTTGTCCTGTCTCCGAACTTTTACGTTTTTAGGGATTTCAATGTCTTGCTGAAGCCAAACTGTAGGAGTTCAGATGGTGAAAGTTTCTGTGCGTGGTTTTTCCTCAGCAATAGTTGAGGTACCCGCCCTGATCTCTGGTCTTGCCTGGTTTCATTTGGCTTTTGAAGCAGAAAATTGACTCCAAAATAAACAGCTTTTTCTGCATTAGTGATTCTCACATACCAAAAGGCAAATGGATTAGTCTGATGCTCTCGTGTGGAGGGAAGCTCCTGCAGCTCATCACTCTTGTTGTGCCAGCAAGAGGATTTTTCACCACGAGTGCAGATCATTCTGTGAGTGACCTCCTGTGTGCCTGGGAGCCTTCTGAGGCACTGCAGGGCTGCTGAGCCTTCCCTTCTGCTTCCTGCTGTCCTTTATCTCCAGGGAGCCTTGGGAGGAGCTGGGAATGCTGCTCGGTGCCTGTTCAGCTCTCTTCTCCAGCAGCAGGCACAGCTGAACATCACTGTGGCTTGGGCTGGGTCCTGTGTTCTGGCTTCAGAAGAGACTGTCCCAGCCGCTTCAGAAGAGCCTGCCCCAGCCACACTTTGTCCTCTCTTGTTGTACACAGTCCCTGAGAGAGGGAAAATAACTTCTGCTGCCCCTCAGAATCCTCTGATACCAGTACTGTGGAAGCCTCAGGCAGCGTCATTCCTCCTTCCTGCTTTAGATGGGAAGCTTTTTGCTGTCATTCATTCCCTGTCCTTTCCCTTGCCTCCACTTACAGTGTAAAATGAAAGGAGAGCAAACAAAGAGGTGTTTTGGTTTCTCTGCTTGCAATCTGACAAGGAACAAGATGAATAATGTTCATTGAAAAGCAGGTGCCATTACTAAGTGACTGGTTACAAGCCAGCTCTGTGCTCCTGGAGAATCCACACAGGTCCATAACTTGTAGATTTTTTTCCTCTTCTTTCTCCCCTGCAGTACATGAAAGATGTAAACTGTCCTTTCAAAATACAAGAGAGACAAGAAACTGTGGACTGGCTGCTTGGCTTGGCAGTGAGGCTGGAGTATGGAGACAATGGTATGTGTGAATATGTCCAGTCTTTCAAAATGGCAGGGAAATGTGGGATTTCTATTTTAATTTGATGATTAATTGTCAAATTAAGATCGTGGCCAAGTGCATATTGTTTTCTTTAAGAAAGAAAATTTATATTTAGCTTCATCTGCTGGGTTTTGCCACATGTTCAGATGTGAACTGTTCCTCCTGAGCTCCCCTGGGACAGGGCAGCAGTGTCCTCATGTCTAATACTTTATTTCTGGGTAGAGCAAAACCCTTTGTGTGTATTTATACCCTTCTCCCTGTGGGATTGCCTTTGTGAGAACTTACTCTAAAGCCTATTAAATGCATTTTCTTTCCTACTACATTTATTCAGCGAAGTTATTCTTAGACCACAGGGGGTGGATCCTGAACCCTTGGGAACTAGGGCAAAGTTATGAAAAAGTCTCCACAGTCAGCAGCAGTTTCATTTCCTTATAGTGAGGCTGCAAATACAAATGTACTGGTGGCAAACACAGTGATAGGCAAAATACTGGTTTCCATTACCTGGAATTCCTGCAGGGCTGAGCTCTGCCCAAGATGGGTATGGATATAAGCACTTGCAATCTGCAGAGTTGGTTCTCAGACCCTTGTGATGAAGAAAATGAGCAGACTGTGACTTGGGGATACAGGGAGATGGAGGAACTGGGAAGTCTCATCCTCAAAAGGCTTGAAAAACCCCTGCATGGGCTGTCAGTGAATGCTGTGGTAGATATGGAGTTGATGGGCAGCTCCAAAACATCAGTGGATAAGCCCAAAAGCCTCTTGGACAATTGCCACACTCTAAAAAATATCCCTATCCCAAACTACAGCTTGGTGCTGATCCTTTTGTTGTTATTTCTAATGGTGTTCATGTTTCCGTCTTCATTGACCAGCTGATAAGTACAAGGATTCCACCCCTGATGGTGCCAAAAATACTGACAATACAGCAAAAAATGCAGAACCCCTGGTTAACTTGGATGGTAAGTGTGCAGCAGCTGACTGTGAATCTGTCCTGTGGCCTGTGTGATGTTTTTCAGATTGTAAGTTGCTATAACACTGTGATATGTCACTTTTGGAAGCCCCATTTAAAGCTGGAGGAGTGAAGAGTTCATGTGTCCTCCTACTGCTGGTGGAACTGCCTCTCTGAGAACAGTGTTTTCAGAGTTTGAATTGTTTGGACTTGTCGGTGTAGCTAAAGGAAAGGGGAACCACTCTGCAAGATTCCCTGGTGTCTGGATGGGCACTGAGACAGAGCTTTTCCTGTGGGGAATAAGGGGAAGGGCAGAGACTCTCAGAGGAGTGAAGTGCCCAGAGACTTGATAAGATATGGATAAATTGGGAAGACTCCTGTCAGGTAGTGGGGAATTGGCTGGTGGGTGTTTACTGCATTTGGAGAGAGCTCTATGAAACAGAACCATAAAATGGTTTGGGTGGGAAGGGACCTTTCAGGGTCATATAGTGTCCAACCCCCTGCCCTGAGCAGGGACATCTGCAGCTAGAGCAGGTTGCTCAGAGCCCCGGCCAACCTCACCTGGAATGGTTCCAGGGATGGGGCAGCGACCACCTCTCTGGGCAGCCTGGGCCAGGGGCTCACCACCCTCAGCAGCCAAAATTCCTCCCTTCTCTCTAGTCTGAATGCCCCTCTTGTAGTTTCAAACCATCCCCCCTTGTCCTGTCCCAACAGATCCTGATAATAAAAAAATCCCTCCCCATCTTTCTTCCAGGCCCCTTGAAGCCCTGGCAGCCCCCAGCAGGTCTCCCCAGCTGGAGCCTTCTCCTCTCAGGCTGCCCCAGCCCAACTCTCTCCTGCTGGGCTCCCAGCAGAGGGGTTCCCCCCTCGGGGCATTGCTGGGGCTCCTCTGGCCCCACTGTGCTGAGGACTTGAGCTCTTGGTGTGGGTTGGGGTGGAACAGCAAGAATAGCTTTGGACTGTAGACTTTAACATACTTTAAAAAAAAAAAAAAAGAGCTAAGGAGCCATGGTGACAGACTGTTTCCTTCAGTGCTGTCATGAGTGACATGTTGGCTCAGTCTTCCCCAGCTGTACTTCATCATCATTTTTTTTTATGCTCAAAACGAATGGAAATGGTGGAAAATAACTACTAAAACTAGTCTTAAATCCCCCAGGTCTTTTCCCATTGCTCCTCTACAAGAAGACACCTATGTATTGGTCCTGCCCTCAGCCAGCAGGGCCAGTTCTGCTCTTCAATGATAGAAAGATATATAAAAGAGAGTATCTTCACATAATTGGCTTTATTTTCCAAGCCTTTAGACAGGGTTTCCTGTGCTGTAGGACACCTGCAATGCACCTGGCATTGAAAACAGCCCTGCTTGAGCCTGGAGGGTGTCCTGCACCCATTGTTTGATTTGTAGCCAGACTAAGTGGTTGGTTGCTCACTGCTGTGTGTGTGATGATTGTTTTTATAGTGAATAACCCTGATTTCAAGGCTGGAGTGATGGCTTTAGCTCATCTCCTTCAAATTCAGCGACACGATGATTACCTGGTAATGCTTAAGGTGAGTTTGGCAGTTTTTAGACCTTTCTTCCTTCTTTTCCCCAGTGGCTCCTGTGTGTGGAATGGTAGCTTGTGGTGCAGAGTCACTGATGGGTTTTGGGGCACAAATGGAAAAGTAAAGCTCATCCTGGGTGTGCCTTTTCAAGCAGATAAGAGCACACCATGTAAATCAGGGATAATTATCTTGGGCAACAGGTCAATAGTAGATGAGTTCTTGGAATTCCAACACTGAGAACTGTTCAGAATTCAAAGTGCTCAAAGAAGAAGATTGATTCCAGTGCTAGAAATGAAGAGAAACTTGAAAACATAGTGGCTAAGTGATGCAAAGGATGTTTTAAAACAGCCTCAGGAGTAGCCACAGTTAAAAGCTTTCTCCTCCTGCTTTTGGTCCTCTGGACTGTTCACTCCTTGTCATTACTGGAGGCAGTTTAATTCAGTCTTGACAACGAATCACAGCTTTTAAATGCAGCAAACAGGCAAATTGATTTTCAAAAGGATCCTTTTTTATGACTTGGAGAGAATCTGTGACTTACTGCTGGAGCTCTGTAGTTACCTGCAGGTTGTGGGTTGAACCTGTGCTGTATTTTTGAAGTGCTGTGTTTACTGAGACTGATGTGATCCTGAGTTCCTACCTGATGATGTCATAACATGGAAGTAAGCTGAGTTCTGCTTGGCACCAAAATCATCTCTTTTAATTGGAAAAACCCAATAAGATCCTTTCATTACAGTAGCTGTGATATTTGCTTAAACAGTATTAAGGAAATGATGGCCTACAGTTATCCATCAACCCTTTTCTCATTCTCTCCCATGTGGTATCCTCCTTTTTCCTTCCCAAACCAGCCTTTGAACCTTTTCTTGATTGTTAAGGAGTGGTGGAGATCTTGTATATCAAACCTCTAAAACAAAACCAAACCCTACAAAAAGCAGTGGAAAGGGATGTCAGGTAGAGAAGAGACCTGGTGAATCGTGATGTTGAGGACCATGAGCTCAGCCCTTATTAGAGTTCCTGCATAGGAACTGCATAGGTGTGTTTACATTCCTGTCAATGTATCTGCATTTCTAGTGACTTTTTTTAGGCTCACAGAATCATGAAGGTTGGTGAAGATCTCTAAGGTCATCAAGTCCAACCATCAACCCAGCACTACCATGACCACTAAACCCTGTCCCCAAGTGCTACATGTTGTTTGAGCTCCTTCAGGGATGGGGACTCCAGCACCTCCCTGGGCAGCCTGAGCCAGTGCCTCACAAATTCTTCCTAATTATCCAGTCAAAACCTTCTCTGGTGCAACTTCCCCAATGCCTCTTGTCTGTTGCTAGTTTTTTGGGAGAAGAGCCTGACCCCCACCTCATTCCAACCTCCTTTCAGGGAGTTGTAGAGAGTCAGAAGGTCTCCCCTCAGCCTCCGCCAGATTCAACAACCTCAGTTCCCTCAGCTGCTCCTCATAGATTCTGCCTTTTTCAGGCAAAACCACCAGCCAATCAAAACCTCTGGTGCAACTTCCCTCTTGTCTGTTGCTAGTTTTTTGGGAGAAGAGCCTGACCCCCACCTCATTCCAACCTCCTTTCAGGGAGTTGTAGAGTCAGAAGGTCTCCCCTCAGCCTCCGCCAGATTCAACAACCTCAGTTCCCTCAGCTGCTCCTCATAGATTCTGCCTTTTTCAGGCAAAACCACCAGCCAAAACGTTCCCACTTTTAATTACAGCAAGAACAGATTCCTGCCAAGACAATTGGTCTTACATGAACAACAACATCACTGGTCTTCAGGGGTTGGTGGTGGGATGTCAGTGAAACTCTTCATTCTGCATCACCCTAGGCAGGTTTGCAGTGTTCACCTGGAGGATTTATGATCCCTATTCATGCCTGGACACAGGGAGCAGCTGCTTAGGGAAGTCCAAAGGGTGCCAGTGTGCCACAGGCATCTCTCCAGAGTGAGCAGAGGGGTATCTGGAGTTCCATTTTATTCCTTTACATCTGGCAAGTTGATCAGAAAGCATCTGTGCAGCACAGTTGGATATCCTAACACAGAAAACACTCCAAATTCTCTTACACAAGGTCTGGTTTCACTGCTGGAATTGAGACCTCCTCATGAAATCACCCTTCCTTCAGTCAGAAACATTTCTAGAAGTATTCAGTGGCAGCTTTCTGGTGTCGTTTCAGCTTTAATCATGACCAAAGCTGGGAGAAATCTTCTTCCATGAAGCAGTAAGGCTGATTCTGTCACAGTTGGCTGCTCCTCAGGGAAAGTCTGAGGAATGTGTTTGACAGACCCAGTTCTTTCTGGTGGAAATCTGCCTGCCTGGTGTTCCTGCAGTTATTTTTAGAGGCATTTACAGCTGTAGGTATCAGTAACTGATAGCTCCGATAGGATTTCATGCTATGTACTAAGCCAGTGAAAACAGATGAGCAGCAGGATTGTTAAAATCAAGGCTGTTCTTGTTCCTGTGTCTAAAAATAATTCCTCTCTGCTCTCAATTCTTTTTAAAAACCTGGGTGGGTAGCCTTGCTCCAGGTTTCTCTGCGTGTGGAGGGTGGTTCAGCACCTATTAAAGATGCTAATAGGATTTCCTTCCTGAAGAAGCTGTATTGCTGCAGTGCTTAGGGGCTGCAGTCTCTAAAAATAAAAAGGGGGCTGCTTTGGGATTGCAGTTGGCTTATTCTGGATTCATAGCATTGATTAGGTTGGAAAAGACCTTTAAGATCGAGTCCAACTGTTAACCCAGCCCTGCCAGGTCCCCACTGCCCCGTGTCCCTCACACCACAGCTCCACGGCTTGGAAACCCCTCCAGGGGTGGGGACTCCACCACTGCCCTGGGCAGCCTGGCACAGCCCTGGACAGCACTTTCCATAAAGAAATTTTTCCTAATATCCAATGAAAAACTTCCCTGCAACTTGAGGCCATTTCCTCTTGTCCTGTCGCTTGTCCCTTGGGAGCAGAGCCCGACCCCCCCCTGGCTCCAGGCTCCTGTCAGGAGCTGTGCAGAGCCAGAAGGTCTCCCCTGAGCCTCCTTTGCTCACAATTTTTCTTGACTGTTCATAGTACTTTGCAGTTTTTGGCCCCAGTGTGGATAAAATTCATGGTGTAACATCTGTGTCTCTCTGGTTAAGCCAAAGGGACTCTGCCTGTTTGAGATACCGCTAGCAAAGAACACAGCCCTTGGAAAAGGTTTGAGGTCTGAAGCAGTTTTCCAGCAAGCCTTTGATAACACCACGGGTTTGAGGTTGTGCGAGCTCATAACATTGGCTCTTTTCCTTTGGAAACAGCCCCAGGCAGGAGCTGATGGTTCCCACTTTTTCCCTAGGCCATCCGAATCCTGGTGCAGGAGCGCCTGACGCAGGACGCCATCGCCAAGGCCTCTCAGTCCAAGGAGGTGAGCATGGGGACAACCTGGGGACAACCACTCTGGCCTCAGGGAACTGTGAGCACCTTAGCCAAAGCCTGCCACCTTAGCCAAAACCACTTCTGGTGAAATGCTGCTTTTAGGAGGGTGGTGGAGCCTTTATCTTCACTGTCCTGGTTCTGAAAGACCCAGAGGGTTGGGGGGGTAGGATACAAAGCTCTTTGTGTTTCAGTTGGGTACAACTAGATGGACCTGTGTGATGGATCATGTAAAGAGCTGTTCCCCTCGGTTGCTAGAGGATGACCCTGGTTGTTCAGTGCAGGAGCCCCACAGTTTGAGAAGAAACATCTGACCTGGCTTTTCCTTGGAACTGGCAGCACTGGCTGTGTAAACAGGTTGAGATGTTCCTTGTATGGAATGTTTTCCTTCCTACATACACCTATGTGTCTGAGGAATGGGATGTTGGACATATCACCTTCCTCTCACAGCCTTCCCCAGAAAGAGTTGGTGAAGGAAACTCCTGCACTTAAACCTCAGATTTTTGCAGGATTTTCTGATCCCAAGCTATCTGCAAGATGTTCCAGGAGATGACTGTGGCTTTTCAAAAGGTCATTTCTTAAACATCCCAGTTTCCCAGCTCGTCTCTCCAGCTGCTGGTATTGGGTGCTGGGAGCAACTGGGGAAGGCAGCCTCTTGCCCTGCAGGTGTATGTTTGGAAGTGTCCCTTCTGAAGTGACTGGATCTGGTCAGAGAGCCCAAGTCCCTTCCTCCTCCCTTGGCAGCTGCTCAGAAAAGATGATTTATTGTCATGACACTGCTTCTGTTGTTTACAAAATGGCAACTGCAGGTGCTCTGAGCTGCAGCACAGTAATTGCCAGAAGCCTTGGAACAGTAAATTAAAGCTTGGCTCTTTTAGATCCATAAAACCATTAAGAGGGCAGGAAAACATGAAGGCAGCTGAGCCTGTTAGTTGTTTTAGGTTCTGTAATTCCTGTTGATAAAAAGCTGCTTTTAGTTGTTGTTTACATGGCTGACATGCAGGGATCAAAATGGGCTTTTCTGAGTGTCTGGCAGGACTGGCTCCTTGGAGGACCAGTGGATTTTGTCTCATGACTGAATTCTTCGTGTTCAGTCAGACCTGAGGTTGAGGTGTCACCGAATGTGATCCATGTCCCTGGGAGTGTATTCTCATCAGGAAGGCTAAATTTCAAGTGAGATGGAGAAAAGGCAGCAGGTTGGAGGCAGGAAAACACTTTTAGCTGTGCCAGCAGCAATCATCAGTGTTGTAATGCACCAGATCAATGAAGAAAATGTCTTCAAAGCATTGAGGGTGGGCTGCAGGAGAGGAGGAGAGGAAAGATCAACGTCTGCTTCTGATTTGGGCTGTTAATGGCCAAAATATTGGCCAGTGACACTTCGTGTGATAACCCTTCTTCCTGGAAGCAGATTCTAAATGTCTGCTGCGTGCCAGATGTCTTCACACCCAAAACATCACGAGTTGCATTCTTGATAGAATGGGGAGGAGACAAAATTATCAGCTAGAGAAATGTTCTCTGATGGAAGGATAGGTATGAGGACAGCCCTGAGGAAACTTGTGTGCCTGTGGTTTCAGTGCACCAAGTGAAATGACATTTATCTTGTTGGGTTGTTGAGGGATGGCTTGCAAGATAAGACATGACACAGTTTGGGTATTTCTATGGTATTTTGAATGGCAATTCAATGTTCTGGGTGTCTGGACAGGGTCAGATTTATCCTCACAGACTCCTACTGGGCTTTTCTTGCCTGGTGAGTGTATCCTAGGTAGGATCAAGTCCAACAAATGCCTTTCAGGGTTATTTGAAGGATGCTCCTGAAGGTTATACCAGGGGTGTATTTGAGAGCCCAACCAAACAGGTATTTCTTACCCCTACTCTGAAATCTGGAAACTCTTTTTTTCCCCTCCCACTCCCAGGGAATGGAGTTTCACTGTTGACCCCTCCAGTGACAGGGGAGGTGGCTGTGTGGTGGTCAGGCTTATTGAAAGTGTTTTGAGCTTTTCCTTCCTCTCCCTGTTTCAGCTGCTGTTGCAGTTGTGCAGATGTGGTTTTCAGATATTGGGGTTCAGCATCCATTCTACTGTACAGCCCACAGGAAAGAGACACTTTTTGAAAAATGGGATGTTAGTTTCAGCCCCAGTTTGTGTCGTTTTGATCAGCTATGGGTTTTTTTGCATGTCTATAAAATCCTCTCAAAGAAATCCTGGCTGTTGATGTTTACAACCCCCTCATTGTAGAAACTATTTGCTCTGACTCAAGTGGGTTTTTTTTGTCGTGCAAGGCAAACGTTGGGGGAGGGGGAAGTTTTAGGGGTAGTAAAAGCAAATTCTAAGATTTGCATTGTTTAAATCTGATTTCCATGTGCACATAAAACATGGTGAGGGATTGTTTAGCCTGGCTGCTGCTCCACAGCTGGAGAGGGAGAAGGAAAGAGCAATGCTTCTAAGCGACCACTGATAAAACTTGTGCCTTCTTCGTAGAGCAAGCGTCCAGAAACATGGAAGGTTGAGCTTCATTCCTAAGCACAACACTTGAGAAAACACTTCTGGGGATGTTGGTGGAGGTGGGAAGTTCAACCCTTGAGAAACTCTCTGGGTTACAGAGAATTTTTACAACCCGCTTTGAAAGCAGCCGGCACTTGGGGCGCTGGCAGCTGTTGAGAGGCAGCAGTTTCTAAGAAGGCTTTGTTTGTGTTGCTCTCTGTTTGCTGGACGTTGCTGGATGGGGTGTTCTCTCACAGTGCTGCTGTTGGCCTTTTAAGGACTGAACATGGGCACTGTGTAGCCAGCAGGGCTCTCTTGACAAGCAGGGCCAGGATTAAACAGGGAGAGTTTTATTCTTTAATAATACTCCAGGTTTGATGCCTCAGGACGAGTGTGAGGACTTCTTGAAGCCATCACACCTAAAAGCAAAACTCAGGTGTCCTCTCCTCCAGAGTTACCTGCTGGAATACTTGGGTTTTTCTTTTCCAAACGTGCAATATGATGTTTCTGATTCTATTTGTACATGTTTTTTTCTTTCTTTTTATTATTTTAAAGGGTTTGCCTGTCGCTTTAGAAAAGCACATTCTTGGGTTTGACACGGGAGGTAAGAACTTCTCTTAATGGTACCCTTAAATAGTGACATTTGCCTTGGACAGAGTACATTACTGTCAAAGCTGAGGCTAATGACTACAGTAAAAAAGCCTGTAGTGGAAAGAATTGCTCCCTCCCAGCCTGTTATTTACGAGTGCTCCTCCCGAGCCTTTTGTTTTGGAACAGAAAAGCATAAATCTTAGCTGTGGAAGATGTTTCTGAGTAATGTTTCACTAACAGCTTTTAAGGACAGCAAGCAGAAGGAAAGTGTCTTGCTGCTCTTGTCCTGTAAATCTTGCTTCTACCAGCAGAGGACATCTGTGCTGCTTCCCTGGGGCTTAGCTGCCTAACTTTTGCCCCATCCACACCTAAATTCCTCCTCGGAGTGATTCAAAGTGCCCGGCTTTGAGCTGGGTGAGGTGGAGCAGAGGCAGAGAGGGCGTTTCCTGGTGTCAAGCACAAAACCCATGAATGAAGCACAGAGCATTAACTTCCACTAAGCTTCTCTTAAGACCTTCCTGTCAGATAAAAATGATGGATGCTTCTCTTTCTGCAACCAGATGCCGTTCTCAACGAGGCTGCCCAAATTCTCCGCCTGCTGCACATAGAGGAGCTCCGAGAGTTGCAGACAAAGATCAACGAAGCAATTGTAGCTGTTCAGGCCATTATTGCTGACCCCAAGACCGACCACAGACTGGGGAAAGTTGGGAGATGAGCAGATAAAAGCTTTCAGTCTCTGGTGTACTTAGCACTCTTAGGAACCACGTACAACTCTGGCATGCAGTTTGAAATGGTGTCGTCTTGCTGTTTTGAAAGAAAACAGGAAATTGAATTCTGACTTCTGGTGAATTATCATTTTTTTCTTTAAATAAATGAAGCTGGGGAGAATAGACAAATTGTTCTGATTATCTTCAAGTTGGCCAATGGGACTTTTTCATTGTGTTTGGCTTCGTGGGGAGAAGGGAGTTGTTACATAAGGGCTCCGCAGATTCCTCCCTTGCTGAGGTCCTGCCGTAGGAACAGCTCCCTCCTGCCTGCCTTGGAGCTTCTCCACGCTCTCCAACTGAAATATTTAAATACTCACTCCAAAGGGGGAAACTCTTAAAACAACCATTTTATTCAATTATTGTAGTAACCTAGAAAAAGTGAAGCATTAACAACGTAAATGGTATTTCTGAACGTGTATCGCTCTGCAGCGGGCAGGTCTAGGAAGGCACTTAGAAGAACCAACACCCCTGAACAGATAATTCCTAGCATATTCTTCTAATATAAATACTAAAAGACATGCATTGAGGCAGTGGTGAAAACACAGAATTGTCTCCAGGAGAAACTTCAATGCCTTTGCCATATCACAGCACTGTTCTGCACACCTTTGGAGCACGTACAGTCTCTGGCTTCAAGGCTGTTGAATTAGGCTGTTGAATTACTTCGACCCAGTGAGATACTGCATCCAAAGCTTCCCCATAGGCACTTATTTTTTTGGATACAAGGACCTGGTTGGCCAGATTGTCAAGATTATTAAAGATGAATCCATTCCTCTTCCAATAAAATAAAATCTTTTGAGGAAGAAAACTAGATTTTAAATCTCCTTGCATAATCAAGAGTTACGAGCAATGGCCTAAGATTCACAGGACCATGGTGGTTTTTTTTAATATATTGATGTTTTCCACTTTTAAAAAAAAAAAATACAGTAGTAAAAACTTGAGGTATAACTTCAAAAATGCTCAAGATTCTTTTGCAGGAGAATCAGTTGCTTCCTTGGCCTCGGTTCAGGGCTTCCCCACCCCCTTGGTGGTGTGCAGTGCCAGTCTTCTGGGTCTGAAGTTCTTTTGGGTGCAAAGATTGTTGTTCCTTGAACTAGCAGTTCCTATTTCCTCGCTGCAGAGAGAGAAATGGGTGTTTTTAGGAGGTCGAGCACAGAGCAGCTGTGGGACAGCCAGGAGGGGGGTGGGTTTTGGGGTGCTTTACCTCCAGGGCAGTAAGGATAAACTGCAGTTATTCCATAGAGATGGGAGCGCTGCTCTGGAAGATACTCGTCAGTAAAGGCACCAGTTTCTTTATCAATAGCTATCACACCATCCCTGGGGACAAAAGGGGAGAGATGTTTTATTCATCTATGAAACTTGGGTTTTCTCTTCCCCCACCTCCATTGATTTAAGAACAGGGGCAGCTATGGATTGACCTGAACACCTGAGGAACAAGCAGAAAGAGATTTGCGTGATGAACTCTACATCCAGCTCCCTCAGTACACGTCTCTGTGGTGAGGCAGAGGCAGAGACAGCCTTCCAAGGAGAGCTTAGCTCCCCGAGAGCCTCCTCCAGGGGCAGCAAGCACTGAAGTGTTTGTTGTAATCTGCTGAGATGGGACTGAAGTTCTGAGAGCTTCCAGCTGGACTGGGAATAGAGGCGAGTTCCTGAGGCCGAGGCGGGGAACGACCGAGGGCAGATCTTTCCTTGGCCTTCATCTAGCTGGAGAAACTGGTGCCAAGTTTAATTTTAAAACCCCAACCAATCTTTCTGTCCCTCCCAGGAAGCTGGGCTTGTTTCTAAACAACCACTCAGTGCCGAATTTACAAGGGGGTGTTGCTGAACGTGGCGCTGCAGGAGACCCGAGAGAGCGCCCTGGGGAGGTGCCAGGGCTGGGGACCAGCCTGGGGACAGGGATGGTGTCTGGGGCAGGGCATGGGGGAGGCTGGTTCCCTGCTGCTGGGGGCAGTGGGTGTCCCTCCCTCACCGTCTCCAGTCGGTGTGGTAGAAGTGGTTGGCGTAGCTGATGAGGCTGAAGGGGTAGTTGAGGTTCTCCTGGATGACGCGCCGGCCCGAGCCGTCGGGGAGCATGCACTCCAGGTGCTTGGTGCCTGTCCAAACACAAGCCAGTCAACCAGGACACCAAAAAAAAACCACCAAATATGGTCTTTGTTGGTCACTAAATTTCATATTTAACCTAAGATGTAGAAGCAACTCATGCTGTGAGCCCCCTCCCAAACCCTTGTCACACCAGCTCCTTGGGGCAGGAGAGGGGAAGGAGGGAAGGAGCTCACAGGTAGCAATGAGCTAAAGACAGAATCAGGTAGGTTGGAAAAGACCTCTAAGATCATGGAGTCCAACCCTTCCCCCAGCACTGCCAGGTCCCCACTGACCCCTGTCCCTCAGCACCCCATCTCCACGGCTTGGAAACCCCTCCAGGGGTGGGGACTCCACCACTGCCCTGGGCAGCCTGGCACAGCCCTGGGCAACCCTCAAGGGCAAGAAATTGTTCCTCAGGGACAACCTCAACCTCCCCTGGGGCAACTTGAGGCTGTTTCCTCTCATCCTGTCCCTTGTCCCTTGGGAGCAGAGCCCGACCCCCCCCTGGCTCCAGGCTCCTGTCAGGAGCTGTGCAGAGCCAGAAGGTCTCCCCTGAGCCTCCTTTGCTCCAGGCTCAGCACCCCCAGCTCCCTCAGCTGCTCCTCACCACACTTGGGCTCTAGACCCTTTCCCAGCTTCATTGCCCTTCTATGGCCATGCTCCAGCCCCCCAGGGTCCTTGTAGTAAATAAATAGCTGTTTTTTTTCCCCTCCAGACCTAGCATGTCAGAGTCTGCTCCCTCCTTGGTGACATTACCTGCATCTGCCCAGCACAGCAGCTTGGAGAAGGGGTCGAAGGTGAGGCCGTTGGGCAGCCCAATGTCCCTGTTCACCAGGACCCTCCTGTTGGCTCCATCGACGGTGGATGTTTCGATTTTGGGTGCTTCCCGATTCCAGTCCGTCCAGTAGAGGTTGCTTGGGAAATAATTACAGAATGAACAAACAGGACACATAGCTGTGATGAGAGCTCCTTCCTCTTCAGTACTGCTTCTTCTCAGGAGAGAGGGTTTTCCCCCTTAACAGTGCCCAAAATAAATCTTTATTTGATTTAAATTAAAAAAAAAATACCCTCTAAAAAAAACAAACCAGAAAGATTTCCAAGATGTTTACGACCCAAACCGTAGCTCCTAGAGGAGGGCAGGTCTTAGAGCAGCACATTTTGCCTCACAACAGCACCCTGGAGACCCAGGGGCCGTTTCCAACCCTTTCAAACTAACGGCCAGCCCACCTCCGAAACAGCAGCTTGAGCCAAATCCTGAGTGATTCAACAGCTAAAGAGCTATGACCCAGCAGCAGGGGGTGCTGCTGCGGGGGGCAGGCCGGGGCCTCACCCTCGCAGGGGGTCGACGGCGATGGCGCGGGGGTTGACCAGCTGGGTGTGGAAGAGCACGCGGCGCTCGGAGC